TCGTGGTGCGAATCATGCGCTCAGCCTTACCGTTCTGGGAGGAGGTATAGGGACATGACATGCGTAACTGCACACCGTGAGAGAGGAAGAAAGCACGAGAGTTGGAGTTATCGAACTCACGCCCATTGTCACAATGAAAGGCCTTGATGGTGAGGCCGAACTGAGTAGACACCCAGACGAAAAAGTGGAGAAGCGTGGGGAATGCATCAGACTTAGCACGCAAGGGAAAAGTCCAAGAATAATGAGAGAAATCATCAAGCACGACAAGATAGTATTTATAGCCAGAAATGCTCATAACAGGAGACGTCCATAGGTCGCAATGTACAAGATCAAAAATATGGGTCGCATGGGAAGAGGAGGTAGGGAAAGGAAGACGAACATGACGGCCCAGTTGGCATGCCTGACACAAGTGCTCATCGTGAGCCCGAGTACATGGTATGTTGGAACTACGACTAAGTTGGGTCAAAGCATTACGGCCAGGATGCCCAAGACGCGGGTGCCATGTAGTGGATGAAGTGGTGGCGGCAAAAGCAGCTGACGAAGCGGAGGGCGAAGCGGAAGATGCAAACGCAGGAAACCGAAGGGTGTAAAGGGGCCCCGTGCTGTCACATCGGAGAAGAGGACGCCGGGAAGCCAAATCCTTCACAGTAAGACCAGAGGAGTCAAATTCAACAGAACAGGAATTGTCACGTATTACTGCAAATAGCGCTTCTGTTCATGAATGGTCTATGTGCTCAAGCACTAGTTGTGCATGCGCGTACCATTGGCCATATGTTAGGGCCAAGTTATTCCTTACTCGCTCAACTAGAAAGGGGAAAGCAAACCCAGACGAGTATTGTACAAACAAGAGTCAAAGTCTAACAAACAATAAACATAAAAATAACCCAAGGGGAAAAAGTGTAGTCGGAGACATGAATGGTATTTTGCTCCCGGCTACAATTCAAAGACCCCACGTAATATTTGATTTTCTGCGGAGCTCACGAGTTTGTCGCTTCTCCTTTCCCGTATCTCTCACGTAATTACGATGACTAATTATGGAAGCCCCCTTATGTGCCATTGATTTCGATATCTTTGCCGGTGATCTTCGCAAGCGGTGTCTATTACGGTTTTGGGCTCGTTCGGCTGGTGCAAATACCAGCCGGAAAACACTGTTCCTGAATGAAAAACACTATTTACGCTCTTTCAAATTTCTCCAGATTTCTCCGAACGAACCGGCCCTTTGAGTTGAAGAATATCGGACCTGTCCTTTTGAATGTTTGTGGATGGAGTTGAAGATTGAACCTGAGTTGAAAACGTATGATTTTTAGTCAGAGGAAAGTGAGGCTGGCTGTGAGCTGCGACTTGTCTCAAACAACATTATGCGACGACTCCGACAATATCGTCATATCGGTTGAAAACGACATGGCAGTCTTCTCTGAACGTTCGGATTCGGAATCCAGCCAGCAGCACGTTTCCAGCTCTGATGAATCAGGAGGGACGAATCCTCGTGAATATCCACCAGGCGAATTTATCTCCCGTATCGCCATCTTGTTAGTACACACATACGGGAGTACGCTCCGTGGCCGTCGCTTTGCTCGGTCGGCGCCTCACACCACTGGAGCCTGAAATGAATGGATGGATGGCCGAAAAACAGTTGGCGGCGGCGGCGCGGGTTGCGTGTTTGGCGAGTAATTGCCGGCTGCCGGTCCGTTGAATCCTCCGCCCCAGCCCCTATTTGCCGATGGCGATCCGAATCCGAGGCCCCAGCGTCCCAGGCCCAGGAACGCGCGCGAAGCACTCGCACCCGCACCGAACGGGCGATCCACATGCTTTGCTTCCTATATCACTGCTCGGTCCCGCCGATCACAACAGAACCGGCCGGCAGCGTGACGCGCGGCACAGCGACAGCGAGGACTGAGCAAAAGGAGGCAGTAGCAGTACGCTCCTGCACGTCACAGCTCACAGCAACAGGCTCTGATGAACGGGCACGGGACCTTGAATCCGATTTGAAGGGATCCAATGCGATGGCTCGTGTCCCCGGCAAGTAGACAGTCCCCATCGCCGGTGACATCCCAGTCCCGTATCGAACCGCACAAAATGTCCACACAAAGTCGTGGCGTCTTCGATCTTCCAAGCTCTTTTCCACCTGTTCGGAGGTTTTTTCGGACGAGTTGTGAGGTGTGATGGACGACGGATCTTGGGCCGGCAAAGTCGACTCTAAACTAATGCCAATTTCAAAGCGGTTTTGAGGGGTAAACTATGGAGTAGTTACTACTACTAGCTGATACGTACTATTGTTCCATTCTCTTGGTTGATAAGCATGACTAAAAATATTGTTGGCTAATTTATTGTGAAAAAAAAATATTATTTATTGTTTGAAAAAAGTAGGACTTATAAACCAAACCGAGGCGTATATGACGAAGACAGGAAGGTATCGAAATCACAAGCGTGCGCTATGCTACAAATGAGGAATGTACTCTGAAGGATCAAGGAGAGAAGCTCCAAAGGCGTGGATCCAGGTACATCGCCTCAAGTCCAGCTCGCGCGAGCCGGGACAAAGTTGTTTTTCTTCGACGACAGGCGACAGCGTCTGACTCGGCAGCTGGTGGACATGGTGAACTCCGCCCGTTTTCCCGGGGAGGCCGCTGTCTGCAGCGCCGGGCTCAGTGCCGGTCGCTCTCACCCACGCAACCACGTGGGCAGCTGAGCGGATCGGCTGAGCAGAGCAGCGTGAGCCAGTGACAGTGAGCACTGACCACCTCGCTCGCTCTCGCTGAGACGCTGACGCTGTGACCCCGACCCCGGGGCCAAAAGACCGGAGGCCCGCCCGTGGCCAGCCAAGTTGGACGATGGGTGGCAGGACGGGACGACGAGTGGAGGCCTGCCTGCTGCCTGCATTATTGGCGTCAGCGTGTGCGTTGTGCTTGTGGAGTTGTGGTGTGGAATCAATCATTCATGGCTGTCTGGTTCCGTCATGAATCTCGACCTTGTTCATTTTGCAAATTTTTTTAATCTGATGAATAGTTTCACTTTTGTTTTATTTAATAAATATTGTCTAATCGTGGACCAACTAGGCTCAAAAGATTCATCTCGTGATTTCTAACTAAACTGTGTAATTAGTTATTTTTTTACCTACATTTAATACTCCATGCAAACAGCTAAAAATTAATGTGATGAGAGAGAGTGAAAAAACTTAGAATTTAGATAGCATCTAAACAAGGTCCTCCTCCGTCTTTGACCCGCTGTGCCTGTCAGGTGTAGTAGGTGGTTGCTTTGCTTTCACTCCTGTGATAAGCTTCTGAAAAGATCAGCACTAACGCTGCCACGCTGCACTATCGGTGATATTTCTATGTTTATCCCCTCTTTTTTTGCAGCTTTGTGAGGGAGGGAGATATCAGCGAGGAGGATGGATCGATCTTCTTGCTTCTTGGAGTATTTTCTTTCTTTTGAGGGGGGATGGATTCAGATTTGACAAAAGAGTACGCTTGCCGGATTTTGAGGGGGGATGTTGAGGCCTGTCTGCCGTGGCCCGTCCCGTATGGACTCGGAAAGAAAAAGATGGTGCATCAGATGCCGGCATATGGCCTAGCCCCTAGGCCCTAGTGCGATAGTATACTCCTATCGTGCTGCTGGTACGCTGATAGGGAAATTTCCCGTTGGAGCACGGTGCAATGTTCTCGACACCAGGGCGACTTTTTTAGTTTGGCGCGTGTTTAGTGAGGGGAAACTTGGAAATTTGGCTATCGTAGCAATTTTGTTTTTATTTTATAAATAGTGTTCAATCATGGACTAATTAGGTTCAAAACGTTCATCTTGCAATTTCCAACCAAACTGTGCAATTAGTTTTTTTTCGTCTACATTTAATGCTCCAGGTATATATCGTAAGATTCGATGTAATGGCTACTGTAATATTTTTTGGAATTTAGGGTGAAAACTAAACACACGTTTGATTTCCACGAATGCGTTGACATTTGACAGGGTACCTGTAAACAAGAAGACAGGAGATGCAGAATTCTATCGGAGAGCTGACTTTTTAATATGGCATTGTACTGTAATGTCGCCATGTTTAGTTTAGAAAGTTTGGAATTTGAGTTACTGTAGCATTTTGTTTTTATTTTATAATTAGTGTTCAATCATGGACTAATTAGGTTTAAAATGTTTGTCTCGTAATTTTGATCTAAACTGTGTAATTAGTTTTTTTTCGTCTACATTTAATACTTCCATGTATCGTAAAATTTGATGTGATGGGTACAGTACTAAACACGCGTACAGTACTTCAGTTTTCGTGTCGCATCACATCACAAGGACCACTCGCAAGTCACCGAGACCACTCATCTTGGGAATGCCATCGCGGAAGACCATTTCAGAAGACCAGGAAGGGAAATCAACGTATTAGTGCCAACTCCTATTCGCCTCATGCAGCCATGCAACAAAACTGGCCCCTCATCGTTCAATTTCATTCTTTGTTTTTACTATTTACTACTCTATCCGTCCTAAATTATAAGTCACTTTGATTTTTTTTTATCAATTTTGTTATGTATCTAGATATAATAGTATATCTAGATACATAATAAAATGAATGTACTAAAAAAAATAAATCAACTTATAATTTAGAACGAAGAGACTATGATCGAACAATTTCACATAAGAAAAATTAAGGGATGTCAGGTTGGATCTTCACAGCTCAGGAACTGCAGATTCAGAATTCGCCATTCGCTGATTAAGATGAGGAGCTTGGTGTACAAACAATTTTGCACGAAATCAACGAATTTTGCGGTTTATATGAAGAGTTGGCCGTACTCCAGTAGGAGCTTACACGGGTAATGCGTACTCCGTGCTTTACAACGGCAGTTGTAGAACCCTTGGCCAGCCATCGATTTCCAATCGAACGGTTGCCAGAGCTCACACACTGACACGTGTGGCGTCATCACGCCATAAACAGCCCCAGATAAAAATTCGAGGAAAAACATTAATAAACATAATAATAGTTCGGAAAAGGGGGAAAAGGTGGGTCGAAAGCGATGCACAGTTGGACGCAGCGCCTGTTGGCCGCGGCGACAACGGCCGGCGTCCTCCTGGCCGCTGCCTGCGCGGCCGCCTCCGCGCTCGACGCCTTCCACGCCCCCGCCGTCCAAGCCCAAGCCCATGTATCGATCTCATCCTCTCCTCGCTTGTTTACTGTTCTGAACTTGGTGCGGATTTTGCGACTCAAACCCTTTCGGCGAAGGGTTTCGAGGGTGTTTCGGGCGATTAGTGTGGTAAACTGCATAGCACTCATGGATTCTAGGATATTCGTTGGAACTATCGACTTATTTATATGCTACTATAGCCTGGATTCTGCAATTGTTAGCTAGATCAAGTATCTAGAGTTCTAGACACTGATTTCAGTAGACAACTTTTGCGAGCGAATATGATTCTGACAGTTGCAGAAATTGTAAAGCTATTCTCGCAGTATCATTTACACCAATGTAGCTATGCTCACACACGAATCTCCTTTTTTTGGGTCGCAATTCTGCATTGACGACATAGAGAAACATGGTTCAATCAACATGCTTGCTTATTGTGTTATCAGTGTTCTTATGTAACTTATCTTTTAGGTTACAAAGATCAACCGGTTCCACAAACAGATCAATGGCAATGACAAGGTTTGTGCCTGGTGCAGATGTAATTCCAACCACATTTCTCATCTAGGAAGATTATGATCGAAGCATGATTCTTTCATTAGTTAACGGGTTAGGTTTACAGATATCCAATCTACTGGTTAAGAGCGATCTCATATGATAAAATAGCATACCAGCATGTTCTATGTTGTTGGAATCTATTTGTTGTTTGCCAAATTGTTCCATACTTATGCTGCAAGGTTTATCCCTCTTCTCATTGTGCAGAAATCTTGTTTAAGAGAATTAGCTTGATTATATTTCAGTTTTATGGGATAAGTTGCACACTACATGCTTAAGCCAAGCAATTCCCTTCAATTTTCCACACTGATAATTAATGGGCTTTTCGAGTTCAACAAACTTAAGCAAAGCTTACTTTTTCCTTTTCATGTAAACCTGCATTAAACTTTCTTCTACAAAGACTACATGATGCCTTTTCTTACTGAATGTGAGCCATTTTTTAGTTGCTCCAGTAACCTATTGAACAAATTTGTCAAGTACTAACTCCATGAATTCTACTGTATATCCTATAAAACAATAAGTTTTCAAAACCATCAATTTTTCTCCAAGAAATCAACAATTCATATCTCAAATGGAGTCGTCCATACCATTACAGGGATATATTTCCCTTACACATGCTGCAATCAGATGCATCTCATACAGATTTCATTCCACTACGAATGACAAACCTGTATATTTGTCTTTCAGGTGACATTGACTTTCAATGTATCTGCAAATTTGGAGTCATTATTCACTTGGAACACAAAACAGGTGATACTTTCGTTGTGGTGCAGCATGGAGTAGCAAGCTATCTCATGAATGTTTATAAGCTCAAAATTGAGCACTTTGGCTGCGGGTCCACTAAAAAATTATGTGTGTGTGTCACCAATGAAAATTGCTTGCGTGCATATGATATATTTAGAACGATTTTAACAGTGAATAAAATAGATGCATGTCAAATCCAAATGCTGTTCAAGTGGCAAGATTGTTTATATGCGCGAGTTACTACTTGTGCTGCTACATCAGTGCTACCAATTTCTCATGCAATATCTGTATTACACGGCAGACTATATTCATAATTTTTTTTCCAATTACATTAAGATACTGTGAAACTCAGCATCAGTAGATCAAAGTGCTGGTATGATGGAGGGAGCATCATATAAGAAACATCTTGTTGTGGTCTTCCCATACTGTTGTATGCCATATAAGCCCCTTTTATCTTTTCAATTCAGCATCAAATAATGATTTATAAAATGTATTGGTGATATCTTTAATATCAAAATTGCTGTGTCCAATCATGCATAATAGAATGTGCCCATGTAAGTGAACAGATTAAGTATATTTGAGGCAGTTAATAAAACATATTTACTGAACTTTATGTTGCAATGCTCATTCAGAAACACTGCCAAACCACATATCATTGCGACAATCACTACATGCTGCCACGAGTCATGATTATTGCCTTACTGAAACCAACTGGTACGATGTTGTTGCTTAGATGGTCGCTGGTGAACTACTGAATGTCAACATTGACAATATTTATAATGGGTAATTCCATTGTTGTACTATCCTCTACAGACAGACGATAATTGAATTGTTTTCTTGATACAGGTCTTTGTCTTTCTGACAGCTGAGTATGAAAATGCGAAAAATTCACTGAACCAGGTAAGCTGCTGTTCATGACTTACCATTGTCAACATGCATCCTGTCTTTATAAGTGTATTTTAGAACAGAGAACTGATCGGAATCAATGATTGCTTGAATCTTGAAATCTTCCTAAGGTTAAATCTTCCTTAGTCACCTTAGGATGAATCAATAACTTGTACATGGGCGTCCATCTTCGTTTGTAGTAAAAAAGTAGTAGCATCTAAGCGTCACTAAATTGTATCACTTAATTAACTAATGTACGGGTCTTTCTTAGATGCTACTGGCATTTTTGTGAACATATGTTCTTGCTATCCAAGTCGGATAAAGTTCATTCAGTAAATCTCCTTGCCATGAATGACTAGCGACAGTAATTTCTATATGCATGGTACCTCACGGCCACAGGACATGAAAAGCTCTAGTTATTGCTTGTCTTGATATGGTGGTGGGTGATTTGTGGGTGGATGATAACATAGACTTTAGCTGTGCGACTATCTGGATGTCAGGCTGTGGCTTGGGGTGCCAGCAATGGCACACTGCGACCTGGAGGTAGGAACAACATGAGGGAGAAGATAGATTGCACACAATCACCCGGATCCAGCAAACTTCCTAACAACCAATAGTTTATTTATCTAAACTGAAACTAACTCAATCTCCTCATGACCAACTAATGCGCTAACTCTGAACGACCTGCCCTTGCTCTGAACTTCTCTCACGAGCCGAACACCAGAATTGCTCAGAGTCTGTCCTGCTTATGTGCTTCAGCCACTTCCCTGTGCTGCTTCCTGGTCTGGGTCTAGGTCCAGGTCCAGCACAGGTTTGCGATCCTTCTTGTTGCGCCTTTCATATTTGCATCCCCACATAACAGTCTGGACACTAGTTCCATCTTTGGTCTATACTTTAGGAGGATCTCTTTAGCCCTGTCACTAATGTTTTCATTTTTGTGGAGATTGTCCTGTTCTTGGCTATATTTTTTTTTAATCAAGGATCTCCCCATTTCCATTATGAAATAACGGAAATACACCATTCTTAGAACGTCAGGAAAGAAACGGAAGGCGAAAAGTGACACCCGTCCGACAGATCAACAAACGGAAATACCCGCCTTATTTCTAGATTTCCATGTAGCCCAAAATATTGCTGCAATGCCAATGGTAAAGAGCTTCTCCTCCTTTGGTAACCATTTGTTGATCCAAGACCAATATTAGGTCATATTGGTTGGAATGTCAGACACACCAATGACTTTAGCCACCACAGCCCAAACAATTTTAGAGATGATAAAAGTGAAGAACAGATGATCCATAGTTTCATTCAATTCACGGAAACAACATTTAGGATCTCCAGACCAGTGTCTTCTAATCAAATTATCTTTAGTAAGCACAACATTATTTTTCATCAACCACAGAATTTTTTTGATTTTTGCAGGGATTTTGCCTTTCCATATCAACTTATGATTAGTGCCAGAATCATTGGACAACATAGCATCGTACACCGATTTAACCGTGAACATCTTATTTTTGTTAACTTTCACACCACCTCATCTTCATTGTCTACAAACTCAAAATCTATAGCTTGCGATTGGATATGCTGCCAAGTAGACTAAAGGTCCCAAGGTAGTCATCTTCTAAAGCTTAACTGGAACACCATTTCTCTCACCTGTGCTACAGAGATATCTTGTTGTTCACAAAGACAGAACAAAAGAGGGAACTTATGTAGCAACGTGGTTTCAGTCACCCAAGGATCTCTCCAGAATAAAGTGTTCTTGTCATTTCTAGTCAAAAATCTTTCTTCCTTCTAGATAAATAGGTTTGACTTTAAGGAGATCTGTCCAAACAGGTGAGTCATCATGCTTCTTTGTAATTAAGCTTATGGATTGGCCTTAATATATTTGACTTTTATGATACTTTAAGGAGATCTGTTCTTTTTTGAGCTCAACCTGGCCCTCGTGGCCTTTCATTGTAAACTCGACAAGATCGCGACTTACCAGATTATTTACAAACTCCGGGAGGGGGTCGTACCACACATAGGATTGACCCGGGTCCCAACTTAAAGCTACTTTGGCTATCTCGTGCGGAGACGAGTTGCAAGAGTGAGGAATGTTTACAATCTTATTACAATGAAAATTATCAGCTAAGAGTTCCCGGAAGCTATGAAACAGACCGCCACCAGCTGCCAAGTCTCTAACCTGGGACGTGATCGCTTCCCAGAGTTGGCTGCAGTCTGTCTCCAGTTCGATCCAGGAGATGCCAGCCCGCCGATTCCAGCCCGAATAGACAGGATACAGTTTCTGCCGACAACGCATCCAGGGTTGGGCTGAAGTTTGCTGCGCCAGCCGGCTCACCCAAGTGGTTCCGGATAAATGAAGCCACAAGCCCCCGCTTTGTCCTCCTTCCTGAAGCTTCCATCGAAGTTGATTTTCAGAAAGGCACAATGTGGCGGTGTCCAGGTTCTATGGTGTTGAGGTGACCGAGCTGTCAGACACACGTCCTCCTTGATCTCTCTGAACATGGAATTCACCGCACACACTACCTCCAGACAAGAAGGATTCTGATCCCCGGCGTTGGCCTTGTTTCTAGCATCCCACCATTTCCACAACAAAATGCAGATACGCAGGCTTTGATCAGTTTTCAACCCAAGAATACTCTGAACAAATTCCTTTGGTGTCTGCACATTCAGCAGTGATCTTCTAACTCCTTCCAGCAGCAGTTCCTGCCAGCAGTGCCGAACTTGTTTACATTTCAAGAAGCAATGGCCTCCATCTTCATCTAGTCGCAAGCAAACAGGACACCTCGTATCAAGATCAATGTAGCGCCTCTTGATATTCATTTTCATAGCCAAGCTATTGTGTGTGACTCGCCATACAAACTGCTTGATTTTTGAAGGACAAGATAGCCTCCAGATTTTCGGCCATATTTCATCATGTGGATAATTAGCATCACGGGATGAAGACTCTCCTTGCTGTACCTGTCTTCCCTGCTCCTCCAAGTTTTCGAGCACATGGTATGCCGATTAAGGAGATCTGTTCTTGGTTATATGCCAGACAGTTACACACTAATATGAGCATGTGGCTGAACTCTTGTGATACTGGCACATGCATCTAGTTTGCCGTGACTCTTTTGCTAAACAGTAAAACTTTCCATTGAATTATTTTGGCAAGTCATTTCTAAAGTTATAGTTTTTTTAGGTCATTCTGAGGCTACTTAGTTGAATATTAGATGAAGTCCTCTGGTTTGTATCAAGTGGCTGGTTGATCGATGCTTCAAATTATTCTGTTTCGCAGGTTTCGTTGTGGGACCATATTATACCTGAAATGGAACTTGCAAAGCTGCAACTAGAGGTGAAGAGCAAGTATCCCCTGATAGACCAGGTAAAGTTTTTTTTTTCGTCTTGCTTTTCATTGGCTAATTGCATATGCCGATATGCTCCCTGAGCTGAGTTTTTCTTGACAATACTTCAGGGTAGTAGTCTGCGCGGGACGACGGTTCTGTTTGTTCTGCACTGGCATGCTATGCCCAATGCTGGCGCCATGATCAGAGATCGGATGCCGCTTTCGGAGTTCAGACTGCCTGACACCTATACCTCTTGAAAGAAAAGCTTATTGATCTGGGAAGAATCCTCTAATTAACCCTTTTCTAATCCGGCATCCACAATTGGTCGCCATACGAACGCAGCTCTGATTCATAGTAAGCGCTGACAGTAGCATATGAAATATTTTGGATATTCGATCAAGCGCTGAAGCATTGAACATCAGAGGACAGATTGGAGTTATAGATGACGATTATTTTTATTCACCCATGCTCGATTGAGCAAGGACGCACATAGATGGATGGAAGCCGCGGCGGCTTATTGATGGCGTGTAACGTGGAATACATTTGCGTGAGGTGAGCTAGCTCAGGAGGCCGTGTCGAGCTAGTTCTTCTTGCACGGTGGGCCGCACATGCCGAGGAAGGTGTCGGTGCACTGGAACTGCTTGACGGGGTACTTCTTGACGACGGTGCAGACCTTGCAGACGGGGTCGCACTTGCTGACGATGTCGTCGCAGGTGTAGAGACCGGAGAAGGAGAAGTTGTACTTGGTGCTGCAGCCGAGCTTGCCACCGTTGGTCTCGGTGCTGCCCTTGCTCTCACCGACGGCAGCTGCATCAACGCGTTTGAGTTCACATCAGTTTAAATCTCGCTCATGCATGACAATCTTTCTCTACCTGCCCGCCCTTTTTTTTTATCGTAGCTGCACCTAGCAAATATGCGGCGAACAGGGATAGATGTTTGGCGATCTGTTTTGTTTTTAGTGGTGCCTGGTGCGGATTGCCATCTACAATCAGGTTCAGGCTGGCACGTTGGATCCAATCATGCTATAGCCTGGGTTTGTTCGCGCATAGCAAGTGGAATGGCAGTGACAGTGAGTGGTCCACCCCAATATGGCAAGATCTACAAGTCTATCTACCTGATGGGGACTCGAGAAAATCTGATGACCTTGCCGCCTAAGAGAAAAAATGGTGAGGATATAATCCTCTCACTGTTCATCCCTTGAGCTCTAGTGAATTGCATCAGTGCAGAAAAATAGCGTACTGAGGACTGAGGTGACAATGCGCCATGGGTTATTTTTGTGGTTCTGTCTGGTATAGTTAAAAAGCGAGTTACCAAATCCAATTTCCGGAATTTGTATGGTTAGGATTCCAATGCGAATTTAGCAGAACTAATCTAACTGATGCCCAAAACATCTGATTCTACTTTTTCGTTGTTTCCATAGACACATTGTTAAAACGCACGAAACTACAGACAATTGGCCTCTCGCTCTCAGAAAAAAGAAACGAGCGAACTAACTGGTACAGTAATCTCGGTGAAAACTTTCAGCATCTAAGACTAAGAGTACGCATACCGTTTTCTTTAGCCACAGCTGCAAGACTCCCATGACCAGAACTGCCTGGAGAACCAGGATCACAAACATCGTGCTGCTCTTCATCTTCACTAGTTGTACGCAAGACGTTTTGCCCACAGCTCTCTGACTTTGTTGCCTCTACTTGTGGAATGTTTTGTGTTGCTACTGCTGGCCAAAGCACGGTAGAGCAGCTCCATATATAGGCATCCAGATGGGAAAATGGCATATCACCATACCTCTGATCGAATATCTTTCCGGAAATATCAGTTAGGCGACTGTTTGACTAGTTGTGGAAGGCATGCATCTGTATCATTTAATTAATGCTGGCCCTACCGTCCTCATCAGCATGGTCCAAGCCAAGCGCACAGCAGAGTGAGCCAGCGACACCGAAAGATTATCGTCGTCATATGCATCCTGTCTGTTAACAGTAACTTAACACGGCTGGCGGGAATGGATGCAGAGTCGGTGTGGTAACTTTATTTTGAGATAGTAGGTTAAGGAGCTGTGAAATTGAAGGGTTATGGTGGCTACCGGTTGTGAGCATCACGTATGAGACTGAGGAAGAGATGTCCAGATTTCGTTGAAGCCTTCCATGACAGGGCAGTAAAGCCCTAATCCCCGGCTTGGCGGCTTGCCATAAGTGTCTGTGGTACCGTGCCGGTGCCTATCCCCATTTCGCTACCTTTAGCTCGTTCGTTTGTTGGTTTTAGTCAGGGCTTATCAGGCAGTCAACAGTGTTTTTCTCTCACAATAAACCAGCACCAGTCGGACTTATCAGCCCAGAAACCAACCAGCGAACAGGCTCACCAAAACTTAACCCGAAGCTCGGAAGCTGTTAGGTTTAACTCCACTGAGCTCATCTGCTATGCACAGACTATGCAGTGGCCAACACATGTGCGAGGGAGTCAAACATATGAAGTACAAAAATACATACTGTACGTCATACGAGAAAGTAGTTTGCCGTTTCCGTATCAAGTATGAACACAGAGATTAGCGGTTAATTTTCATAAAAAAAACACAGAGATAAGGAGGCGCGACTAGGAAGTAGCAAGGGCAGTATTTGTGATAGCAGGCGGATCGGAGCTGGAAAGGACGCAAGAGCACACTCTGAAAATGTACGTAGCACCAATTGCAATTTCACAAGAAAATAACCCGGCCGGGGTAGGCTACCAGTACTGCAGTAGCAGATCTTTTTGCAAGGTAGCAGTTGGGGATGGGGAAGTTTGAGGCCACTCGAGGGCCACGGTAAGTCGGTAATGGCGTTACCACTTACCAAACCCATCCCATCCCATTCCCATATTTCATATACTGTGAATATTATTTCACTTCTCCTATATTTAGGCGTCTGAATTTTAACATGATTTCAGATAATATTCTTACACAACTAACTAGTACAAACAAATTATTATTTTTGTGATTTTCTATTTGTCTTTGTATCAGAACCAAAAATTGTAAATTATATCTACATAAAATTGCAACGAACTAAAGCTACGACCGTACTAATCAGCGGACGTTCACTCAAAATGAATCGAGCAATCGATCAGACAGAGCTCCGCATGGTCCAGCGGTCAATCCCACCATCCCCGCGAGTTCCCCTTTTGGATAAAAAACATTTTCATAACTTTTATTTTTTTAGAAAGTTATAAAGTTATACTCGTAACTTTATGTGTAGCTTTTTGCGGATAGAACTTATCACCATATTTTCTTAGAAAGTTGCAAAGTTATACACATAACTTTTGCATATAAATATTTTGCAAACATAACTTATCAGCACAATTTCATAGAAAATTACAAAATTATACGCATAACTTTTATGTATAACATCTGCGGAACAAAACTTGTCATCACAATTTTTATATAATTTATTTGCTGTAGTTTTTTATATAATAAATTTCACAAATAACATAACTTATACACATAAGTTTTTATTATCCAACATTTTTTTACTTAACTTATTCTCGACAAACTTTACATAGTAAAATTATACGAATAACATAACTTCACACATAAGTTTTTGTCCAACATCTTTCAAAAAAATGCACACAACTTATTCTACACATTTTTCTATGTAATTTATTCAGAGTAAATTTCTCAGCATGGTATAGAAGAAAAATAGATAGATTAAGAAAAAAATAGATAGGTACCCAGCAATCATCGACATCGATCCTCCACGTGAACGTTCGTCGCACATCATATGTATTATTATTCGTTCCTTGTCCGATGCACATCATATATACATGTACTGTATTGACCAATGATCATTCGGGATTAGCTAGCAGGAAAATGAGCTTATTGCGAGTAACTTTATTTATTTATTGCAAACAACGGCTTATTGTTGGCGTGCAACGTCGTCGAGAACAAGAATCGATTGAACACACAAACCCACAAGCACAATGACGCACAGTAAACCATGCACCGGCGAAGACTGAAGCGTTCTTCATTTCTTCTAGCACTTGGGGCCGCACATGCCGAGGAAGGTGTCGGTGCACTTGAACGACATCTTGCCCGAGTAGGTCTGCACGGCGACGCACTTCTTGCAGACGGGATCGCAGTCCTTGTTGACGTCGTCGCAGGTGTAGAGCCCCGAGAAGGAGAAGTTGCAGTTGGTGCAGCACTTGAGCTGCCCCGGGTTGATGTTGATGGCCTTGCTCTCGCCCACGGCTGCACGCACGCATCAATTCATCAATCCATGCGTCATAATCATCGTATGTAACATCAAGACCGATTCAGATCAGTCAACCTGTATATGGCGATTAGAATCATAAGATCGTCGATCAAGGAAAGTACCATTTTCTTTAGCCACAGCGGCGAAGATCCCCATGACCAGAGCGGCCTGCAGGCACAGGATCACCAGGAGCGTGCTGCTCTTCATGGTCTCGATCGGCGTCGTCTTCAGACCAGCTGTTTGCTCTCTATCTACCACTTCTCGTAGAAGCTCGCCACTGGTACATAAACAAGTTGTACTTCCGGTTGGAAAACCTCTTCAGTCTTGGTTTTTCAATCAAAAGCACGAATCCAGAACTAAAGGGCCCATTCTTTAGTCTCGGTTTTTCGTTTGGGACTAAAAGTCTTTAGTCTCGGTTGATAATACCAACTGGGGCTAAAAAGGCCTCCCGGTCTAGCCACGTGGGCCGACCCTTTAGTCCCGGTTGGTATTACCAACCGGGACTAAATGTTTTTTTTTCTATTTTCAATTGATTATTCGTTTTGGTTTTCGAATACGTATTCTACGCTGCTAATAATATACGTATTCTACATGTTTATAATGTTCGAACATTTTGTACAAACTAAAGTATGAAACTAACGTATATATTATATGCATATACATATATTGTACGTTATGTTATGTATATATAATATGTATATATATATTACAAATAAAGTTTGTATTGTATATTCTATCATATCATTGAGATAACAAGTTCACTCTATCTGGTTTGGCTTCCATGTTTTGTTCATGTCGTTGTAGAACTCATCGACGGGGTTTAAGACCTGATCATTAAGAAATCCTGCTATGGTCTCTTGAATTGCTTTCAGTTGGTCACGTCGTATGACTTTTTCCTTCAATCATAGAGTCTTCAATAAAAGTTAAAGGAAAAGTATTAATATATATATATATGTTGGTCATGTGATTACTTATATATATGAGCAATAAAAGAAATTGTGAATATATGAATATATTTATATAACGTACTTTGAGGATCTCTTCCGGAGTTCTTTTTGAGTACGCCATGATGAACTCGTAAACATAGTATCCGCAGTAGTTGGTCCCCCTGTTCTTGCCTCAGAATCCACTTTTACGAGAAAAAAGATCCGGTGAATTGAAAGCATGCATGGTGTTAATTGAATTATATATATATAAATGTAGCTAGTACTTACTTTGTGTGTGATTACATCCAATGGCGCTTTGCAATGTTTCATGTGGTGTTTCTCAATGAAACTTTTTCAAACACTGCGCCCAATAAAATAAAAAATTAATTTGGCCTTTAATAATTGTTGCAGTTAAGAGATCGGGGTATATATAGTTGCTAGAGAGACCAAATTATCCTTGGATAATATCTATCATGCCTTGATACTATGTTTGTTCTTTTCTTAACGAGTCTAAGATGCTCAACCGACTATTGGCCATATCGATGACCATCAATATTCAGTGATTGCTGCATATATTTTTATACACAAATATGATCGACATTAACTAGAGTCAACATATATATATATATATATATATATATATATATATATATATATATATATGGGAGATAGCTTAGCTAGTAAGCAAATAATTGAATAAATGTCCATATGATCGACATTAATTATTTAACACTCACTTGAAGTTGTAGGGAAAGAGTGTGTCCTTGTTTTATTGGTTCACTAAGAACCTCATGAGATTTTTCTCGAGTTCAGCTTTTCATTGAAGCGGGGGATTAGGGGTTTGAATAAGACATTTGGATCAACGAAACCAACATCATTATCCTTTCTCTTTCTGAGTTATGTCATCTCATATCTGCATATAAAAAAATATAGTGTGAGGATATATAATTTATATATATATACATGTAGCTTTATATATATACACTTTAATAGTAGAAGTGGAAAAGCCTGCCACAGTAGTCGTTGGGCAGGGTCCTTTAGTCTCGGTTGGAGCTACCAACCGGGACTAAAGATTTCTCTAGTCCCGGACGCGAAAAATATCGAGACTAAAGCCAAATTTCGAAGTGAATCAAAAGTCATTTCTCTACCGGTGCTCGTTGTGTTTGCTGGTGCCAGCAGCGCAGTGGAGAAGCTTTATAGGCGCCGAGATTTGAACATGGCATTGCCGCCGTAGTCCTGCAATCGCAGGGGATGCTTCAACTCGTGCATTTGTTAGGCGAAACTTTGACTCATGGCTGCGAGTCGTATGGTATAACGATAACCCATTTCCTTCTCATGATCATATATATATATATATATATATATATATATATATATATTCAGTAGCCAGCTACAAAATAAGTTATTCTATAGCCACCTCCATTTACGATAATTTTATATACTAATTTACGATAATGTCGTCAATACATATTTACGATAGTTGGGTTACTATAACACATGGAGATATTTACCGTAACGTTATAATAAACCACTTAGTATGGAGTTACTATAATCTCGTAAATTAATATAGTAATTATCGTAACTCAAAGTGGCTACATAATAAGTTATTTTATAGTCAGCTACAGGGTAGTATATATATTCGGTCCAAAATGGACAGAAGTAATGACATTATCGTATCAGCATGAACCCTAACCTTGACCAAGCATTGCAATTCAAAAGGAGGTAAAATAATGGAATCAGAATTTTTTTTTTTCTCTCCGAGGTCAGGTGGGCAATGCCCCCTCCACTTGTACATAAACTTCTATTCCTCTCTTAATTGAAAGACAAAGCTTCTACCATTATGTTTTTTTTTAAGAAAATGTGTATGTATATATCTGCAATGGTAAGAATACGTTACTGTTTCTCCATTCTTTCAATAGAATCGGTTCATCCTAAGCTGCTATATATTGGTGCATTTGGTATGATTGGGGCGCGGAGAAAAACTAACAAATTCTCTAATCAAGTTAGGGCCACACAGATACTCTCTTCCCTTCTCTGATCAGGCATTCAGGCAGTGCCTTCTATTTTGTTGGACCAAAGTAAAACAACCGATCTGTAAAAAAATATGATTACTGTACTGGGTGTTCGGTTGAGTATAGCTACTGTGAGTTCGTGACACCACAAAGAGGGAGAGAGAAGGGGGAACTGCACTTAACCGAATACCTAGTAAGTTACTATGGTAGCTCTCCCTCCCCTCGTCGGCTGCTTGTATAATAGCAGGCTGTAAGTCGGCTGAATGTTGAGGTGGAGGACAGAGGGGATGAGAGAGAAGAGAAGCGGAGTGTAAGCTTATAGCCGGCTTAGACACAATAACCGAGAAATTTTATAAGAGAGAGATAAGTGGACTATGTATTAATAACGAAGAGCTAACTACTGTGTAAGTGGGTTGAGAGAAGACTACAAAGATCCTTATAGCTGCCCTGCAGGCTGTATTATTGCTCTAACCATTGTTTCTGCTATCAAAGTTCAAAGACGAAGCGTTTTCACACTGCAGCGCGTACGAATGCACGATCCAGCAGTAGCTGTATTCGTTTTGGTCGCCTTGTGGACCTGGAGGCGGCTATTCGTGAACTGATCCAGTTCAGGAGGGAAAAAGAACTAGAATCCGCCACCGGTTTGGCGCCGACGTGTGTCGCGTTGACGATCCGGTGGTTGGTAGCGAGTTTCGAGGGTAGACAAAGCAACACTGTCGTATCGAGATTTTGATGCGGGCATGCGGCGCTGCCGGTGCGACTGACCCTAAGCGGCAAGCCGGCAACCCTGCCGGCCTGCCCGCGGTTTCTTCCTTGCCACTCTACGTAACAGGCCCAGGCCGCGTTCACCGGTTGGGTAACGGGCCAGAGCGCTCACCGGCCGGCCTCCTCATGGGCCTCGATAATAAGGGCGCCAGTGTTCTCAGAGACTGGCCCCGCATCAATTCCTCATCTCGATATAATGCGTACAGCCCGTTCGGCCCAGCACGTGATAAGCCACGTTTCCACGGCCTCCGCGCCTCACTAAGTCACAACAGAGTCTAGCGTGGCATCCTGCCAGGAAGGATGAGAGAGTGAGCTAAACGCAAGCTCAGCACCCGAATTTTTTTTTTTTTTTTTTAAAAAATTCATAAATATGTCTTTAGAGGTAAGATTTCAAAATCTAGGCTCCACACTGGCGTGACGGTGATTTGATAGGCAGCTTGACGTCATAGATCCTGACGCCGAGCTTGGCGTCGTAGATCTTCCGACAGATTGGGCCACGAGGCTGCGACGAAGCTGCCCGCTGGCAGCAGCAACGGATCACGCGAACATGTGAACATCACCGATGCAGTTACCTCGACAGCCGCAGAATCATTCGTCTCCGACGCCGATCCGGTGGGCGACAAAGAAATATTGGCCCCGTTCGCTGGTCTGAAACTTGGCTGAAAAACACTGTTCTGGCTGTTTTGCTGTGAGAGGAAAATACTGTTTGGCTGGTTTGATGAACAGTACATTAAGAGGGGAGAACAGTAACAATTTTTAGTATTTTTTATTAGAACTTATTATCTGCTATAGTGCCCATTATATACGATTCACTAATACTTAAACACGAATCGCGCAGGATTTTGGCTTTTGTCAGCTTGTTTTCGTAGCCGAAACAATATTTTTCTTTCACAGTAAATCAGCCGAAACAATATTTCAACTTGTTTTTTCAGCGAAGCAAACGGGGCCTATGAGCTCATCAGTCATAAAGGGCTACCATGATCTTTGCGCAGCCAAATGATATGTACTGAAACCACAAGCACTACGGCAACTAGCAAACTGAATTTGCATCCCGTGGTAGGAGTAGTACAAGTACTGAAGTAGTAGTACATGACAATATGCTGCGAACCAACAAGCCTGGCCAGCCATGGGACTCTCCCGCTGTACCTGCACGCCACCCTTGATGAGCGAGGCTCCCTCGAACAAGCATTCCCCACAAACACACGGGCATACTTTGATCACACTCCATGCCCCGCCAAGCAAGCAACCGGTAATCAACAACAACACAACCAGAAAGCGCCTCCGATCGATCCCATGCATGCCAAGCAAACAAAAGGAATCTTTTAAAGAAAAAAAGACCATCGCTCTATCATTGCCACCTTTCCATGTCATGCACCACCCATTCTCTCAATTTAATTTGATTGTAATTTTTTTCTCGATCACGCAAAAGATTTACGTATTTTTGTATTAAGAGAGAATTGTTTGTTTACAACATGCCCTTGAAGCGCTCTAGAGGGGCGAAATTGTTTTACAACTTAGTATTAGCTCCCTCCTAGAATAATACAAAGGAAGCCAGGCGACTACTCGCTGTAGAAAACAACCTAAGTTCCTTGCGCCTGCTTGCGTCCACAGCTGATCAGGAACAACCAGGGCACAAGCCGGCTCGAGCTAGCCCGAGCTGAGCAGCAAGTTTTCTTATAATTTCATATATATGCGAGCATGGCTGTAACTTGTAGCCATGCTTTTCGAATGCGTGCGTACGTTAATTCACAAGCTCTTTGTCTGTGAGTTTCACAGGAAATTGTTCACCATATTAGCTGGGCGCCAGGCCAGGCCAGTTAACTCTAGAACTCCCTACTCTTCTTGGTCCTGTGGCTACAGTCACAAAGCAAATAGCTGAGCACGTTGGACACACTCGTGCCGATGAACGACACGTTAAGCACCGGCGGAACCCTAACACCATAGCTACCACTACCGCTGCCGCCTTTTCTGCTACCTCCATAGTAGTAAGTTCTTGAACCACCACCGTTACCAGCAGATGCCGCTGCGCCGCCCAATTTCTTGTAGTACTGATGATGAGGCCGGTGGCCGGCGGCGGCGTCCAAGACCGCGCCACCACCCAAGACGGCGGCACCATCCCGCGCCGCGGAGCCGACTGACCAGCTGCGCATAAGCGGGAACGGCGGGCAGCCGAACCTCCCCGCGGACCGCGGCGCGCCCGTGGTTATTGTCGTCGTCGTGGCGGAGTTGACGCTGCTGCTGCGTGAGAACGGGGACGCCCACGACGAACCCGGCCGCCTGATCTGCTGCTGGCACGCCTGCTGCGCCTTGACACGGCTGCTGCAAGCCTGTGGCTTTGTGCACGGGCTGGGCTTCGGAGCGGGCGGCAGCGGCGGCATTGGCAGCAGCTTGCCGCCGGCGAAGAGGCGGTCGGCCGGGGCGACGTCGGCGGCGGCGGCCGCGACGGCGTTGGCGAAGTCGAACTCCGGCTCCGGGACCAGGAGGCGTGAGCGTGACACGAGCAGCGACGCGTCCGACCGCCGGCCAGCGAGGGCGGCTGCAGGCGGTGGTGTCGCGACTACGACTACGTCGTGTGAGAAGGAGATCCTGGGGCTGATCAGCTCCTCCGGGGCTTCTTCTTCCATTGTTGGCGGTGTCAGGAATGTCAGTGGGAGATCAGAGGCCGGCACGGAGGAGTTGGGAGGGAAACGGATAAATAGAGTAGAGCCCCGGCGGTCCCAGACGCAGACGGATACAGGTTGGGACCGTGGTCCGTGGGGTACAAATTTCGCACCCGAATTCGCGAGGTTGATTCGATGGCACTCGCGCCCGGTCCCTTGGTCGGTCACCTACCTACGCTACGGTTCCTTTGCCGTCTTCTCGTCCAGTCCTCCTTCCACCAGACGTGAAACTTTGGCGATCAACCATTCAACCTACAGCATTTCTCCTCCAACGTCCAGTCCTCTGGACCGGCTTGCTTTACGGTGCAGGCGTGTAGCCACCAGTCAGTAATCGTGATGTTAGGATCAAGAATTCAATCGATCGAAATCTTTTTCGCAACCCCATCAGAGACTGCTTGAAGTACGCAACGGCGATGGATGTGATGGATTCGGCTTCGGCACTGTACGGAGCTCAGTTTTTTTTTTTGAACCGGAGGTAACCCCATTTCCATTATCACTAACGGAAATACAGCATTTTTTAGACATATCAGGGTAAGAAAGAAAACAGGCAAAAGGCAGACTTACTACTGTAGCCTATTACAGACAGTTTTGGTCTAGATGATTGATAGGAAACGAAAACTATGCCATCTTGGCAGGATATCAAAGCTAAATCCAGCTCTAACGCAAGGTTAACTACTTGAGCCACCTTCCAAAAGACATTGTGAATACTTAGTTCGCAAAGATCAGAGCAGAAGGACCCGTCATCCCTGCTTATTGTCATCACCACCATCCTTCAACAGCAGTTGTCCATCCTTGCCCAGCTTCTTGCCCAGTAGAAAAGCTGCGATCTTCAGCATTGTGTTTGCTCTAGCTTCAAGTGCTTCTTTGTCGATCTCCATGAATAGACCTGCCCAGTAATTCATGAGGGCAGATGCATATGGCATATGATTGATATAGGATTTATTAGAGGTTTCCCTTCAAAACAAACTTTGTTCCTGGCTTTCCAGATGTGCGGAGCTCAGTTGGCTTCGACGTACGCAAGAGTTCTTTTGAGCTGAAAAAAAGAGAGAGGATTGCTGTGTCTGATACTCAGATTGCTTTCATATATACCACTGTTTACGCTGTATGGCGAGACGTCGACAGGGATTCCGAGTTAAGCACTACTGTAGTTGGGAGCAGAATATGATGGGAGGGGCCTCTCTGGTCATTATCTCTCAAACTCGACGGATGGAACCAGCGCGAAAACACGGGGGGGTGGGAATGGGAGCCCCATGTTTCGGCTCAATCTCTTCCCATGAACATTGGGATCAGCAGGACCTCCAAATCATGGTACTCGTCAGACATACAGCCATGGCAGCATGCAAGAAGATCCAGAAAGGAAGCTGTACCCATTTCCCTTCAATTCCTTCTTCCATCGGTGAAAAGGATAGCAATGCAATACAATGCAAGAGGAGCACTCAACTGGAATATCGAAAAGGCGCACCGAAAACTACTGGTAGTTCATCGCGGCCTATACGGGTGAGAATGAGATCAAGAACTCAGCAAGGATTCATTTTGATGAAATCAATGGATCGGAGCAGCTACTTGTGTAACGGAGGCACCTCATCTTTTCTGAATGTGACGTGTCGTGAAAATGCGCAGCACATCATAGTCGCTGCCTCGTGGACGCGCTCAATTATTCATACGTACGTGCCTTCCTTCGCTTTTCTGCAACGCTGGACCAGATCAATGGACTGCGAATTATTGTGCGCTGCAACTGCAATGCAGTGCATGCAAATGATTTGGCCTTTGCATTGCAGTCAGAAAGAATGTCGTCTCACTGGTGGTGGTGGCGGCTGGTGTAGTGTAAATTCAGGTGACCGATTTGTCAGTCAGTGTTGCCCAGTTGGAGTGACACCTGGTAGGCTGGTACATCCATCATCTTGCTATGTTAGCATCAAGACAAGCTCGGCTAGCTAGTAGCTAGGGCACCAAGCGGTAGCGGTCCAGGACGAGGAGTAGTAGGGGGCATCTGGAGCAGCACCGTCACTGAATTCCAGTTACTAGCTAGGGGGGAGCATCATGCCATCAGCCAGCCCATCATGCATGATCTGAAGAGATCAGCAAATGGTTGGTCGTGTGGTGCAGCCGTTAGGCTAGCTCGTAGACACAGACTGTTCCTCCGCAGTGTTGCCCACTGTTCTACCTGGCTGGCGTATCTCGCCCGTGCTGCTTCTGATTGTGCTTGCGTGCTCTGTAGTCATGGGGTCCGGCCGGTTCCTGAATCCATGGTGGCCTTTGGCACCTTGTACACAATCTCTCACTGTTCCACTTGTCACGGAAGTCGGAAGGAACAAGGTAGGGGCTGCGGATTGAGTGGTTGAATGGCAAATGATTCAACAGATAAGTTTTGGAGGCCATTTTGACGTAGCAAAAGTAAGCAAGACCTGTATTTTCTTAGATAATTCTGGCTTGCTTGGCTCGTGATCATCTACTTTCGGCCTAGTCAATAAGTTGGGCTCGGTCTTAGCCTAAATTGAGGGTGTTTCTTTTTAAAGACAGACGCATGCAAATGTTCATGTAGCGGCTCTCCTTTTCTTTCTCAGCTCGTTTTGTTGAGTTCTAGTGGTAATGGCGTGTGGCATGCTCTCGGTCATGGGATGGCGCGATCAGCTCATGGGGCGTGCTGCGTAAAGATGGCAACGGGGCCCCGATACCCGACGGGGATTTGATCCATTAGGGGACGGGGATGGGACAAAATCAGTACCCGCGGGGTTCTTAACGGGCAAAAAATGATCCCCATCGGGTAAAGCGGGTAAGATAACGTTCTGCTAGTACCCGTCCCCGTTACCCGTCGGGGAACCCGGCAATTTAGCAGCGTACGCGAATACAGGCACAAAAAGCCCAACATAGGAAATTTGGCCCAAGTATTAGCATTCATATATATATATATATATATATATACTGCCCCAAAAACCCTAGGTTTTATTCCCTCCCCATCCTCAGCCGCCACATGCTCTCGCGCTCAAGTCTTATCCAGCTGCCGCCATCTCCCTCTGTCTCTCGCTCCTCTTGGCCACTCCCGCAGGCCACTGCCACCGGCGCGTGATTCGCGCCGTCGCGCGCACAAGCGCTACCGTGCGTCTGCGCTGGCCATCTACCGAAGCCCTCAGCCGAAGTCTTCTGCCCTTTCGCGTGCAGCATGCCCTGTGCCTGTGCTCCCAGCGCCGACGCAGGAGACCAGCCGTGATTGGGCATCTGCTTGTACTTTGGTCTGCAAGGAAGGTGATCTTGCGTCTCCAGTTTCTTAACCTGATTGGGGACAACGGGAGGTGGATCTTGCCTGACACAAGAATACATCTCATCCTGACACAAGCACTAGTAGATTTGTGAGATTTTTTCTTTGCGTTTTGTTTGCAAATTTGGTATGCAAGGGAGCTGTGATTTGTCAACTAAGCGAGTTTATTTCATGTTGCTGTAAGATCCATTTTTTTGTCCATATTTCTTCGTTTTTTGTCCACATTTCTTCTTCTGGATTGTTGATTCAAGTGCTTGTACTCGGGCACCAAGGAGGACATGTACTCGGGTACGGGGTACCCGGCAGGTACGTTTTCCCCGGTCGGGGACGGGGATGGGTAAAATCTATCCCCGAGACCGGGGACGGGGACGGGGAGCGGGACAATCTTGCTGTGCCGGGATGAGAACGTTCTCCTGATACCCGTCAGGGATGTACCCGTTGCCATCTTTAGTGATGCGCGTGGCGTTGTGTTGCCTCCCTACGGTGTGACCGATGCCTCATGATCAGTCGACCCTGTCATGAACTCGGCATGGAATGGCTCCGAGCCTACGGAGCTTGGGCGGCTCACCTCCGGCTTGCTCCAACCTCATGATCTCTTGCAACCTGCATGCCATGGAGCTCGACTCGTACCCGATGAACACCATCGGTGTATTGTAATCATTGAGCTCCTGCTGATACCCGTCGGTGATCTTGACATGCACAACACAGCCAAACATGCAAAAGAAGTACATGGGTGGCTTGTAACCAGGCCCCTACTTGTAACCCTACCATCCCCTCGACGCTCCTTGTCGGCGCACGGTTAAAGATGAATACGACCGTCGTGACCGCCTCCCATTAAAACCAGTTGGGCATGCGCATTGCCTTTGAGCATGCTCCGTGCCATGCCCAATGTTGACACACCAATACACGAGTAGCGGAGGCTAGCACTAACATAAGCTAACATCATTGGAACATTTGTGTAAGTGTTGCGTAGGGATGCTGTCCGAGGCCTTCGCGTGGGGCTTGCGATGGAGCGAAGAGCCCGACAATTTAGGCGGAGGCCAAGCACGTTTCACGAAGAAGCCCAGGAAGCCTCCGCCTGGAGCAAGAAGGCCTTCGCCGCTGGCCGTCGGTAAGACGGAGGGCCGAGCACGGATCTGAAGATGTCTAGAAGAGTCCAACAGGCGGAGGTTCCGGCGGCTCGGGCGGAGGCTGTGCCATCTTCGCTCGAAAGAAAGAGGTCCTCGCAGCACCGCGACCCAAGATCGGAGACGGGCCCCCCATGGGCCTACGGTTAAGGCCCAAGAAGCAAAGGCGGTGCAGGAGGAAAAGACCCGGGATGCCCCTGACAGTTTATACTAGTGTCAGAATATTCTAGGAATGTACCAAAGCTGTCAAGGGGCAAAATTGTACCATGAAGCAGTAGCAAACAGTGCCTTATAAAAGGAGGACTCGGATGCTATGCAAGGGGGGTTGGTGAACTCATTTATGAAACCCTAGTTGTGCTGGGGTCCACCTTTCGTGACCTATTCACCGAACCTCTGCCCAGGGCACCGACTAGGCAGAGGATCCCCTACCTATACTTGCTGGAAACCTCGTTTTCAAACATTGGCGCCCACTGCGTGTTGGCCGAGCAAAACCCACAGTGGCAAGAAAGAGAGCAGCCTCGGCCAGAACTCCCGTGTAGCCCTCGACGAGGGGACTACCCAGGCGTAGCGCCCGTAGCGCT